ATCCTTTCACATCTGTCACATGTGCTCAGGGTGAACCTGCACTTATCTACGAAATGCACAGAGCGCCAGTGGCAGACCTGCCAATTCTGGTGTTCAATGGCAAATGCCAATCGAGCTCTATGGTGCCAGGCAGTGAGTACATGAAGTCTGTTTCTGATTGTTTGGTCAGAGACATTCACACCAGTGGCCTGCTAGAGGTAATTTTGTAGGGCTCTGGCAGTGCTTATCCTGTTCCTCCTTGCACAAAGGAGCAAATACCAGTTCTGCTGATGGGTTAAGGACATTCTACGGCCCTGTCCAGCTCTTTTAGTGTAACTGCCTGTCTCCTAGAATCTCCTCCATGCTCTTGAGTCTGTGCTGGGAGACACATCAAACCTTCTGGCAATGGCACGTATTGATGTGCCATCCTGGAGGAGTTTGACTGCCTGTGCAACCTCTGTAGGGTCAAGGTATCGCCTCATGCTACCAGTAGTGACACTGACCCTAGCCAAATGCAAGACTAGTGAAAAACAGTCAGTAAAGATGAGTAGGGAAACAAAAATGTCAGTGGCCTCCACCTGTAAAACCATTCCTGTTTTGGGGGTCGTCTCATTGTTGCCCATCTAGTGTACTTGTTAATTTCATTAACACCAAAGTGACTGAAACTGATTAACAACCCCGTCTGCTACTTAACTCAGCAGATCAATATTCCAGGAGTTTAACCCCTTCCCGCCGATGTCACACAAATATGCGCCCTCTTGGAACTGGGCTTTTTTCTGTGGGGCCGCATATTTGCGTACCTGTCTTTGTGCTGGGAGCGCGCTGCTCGGCGCGCTCCCAGCACTGAGACCACGGTATCACTGAGAGCACCGGGTCCCGTTCTAACAATCGAGACCTGGGACTCCCGGTCCCGGGTCACATGATCGTTGTGATAGCCTCTTATTGGCTATCACAGTGATCAGTCACTGTGCAGCCTGGCCCCCTTGTTTTTCTCTCTCTCTATGAATGGAGAAGAGAGATACATTGAATCTCTCTAACTCTTGGCATAGAGAGAAAAAAAAGTTTGTAAAAAAAAAGATGAATAAAATATTAAAAAATCAAAGAAAAAATAAAGAAAAATACCTAGATCAAGGTTTGATCTAGTTCAGTGCCAGGGTTAGTGTTTAGGTCAAGGTCAGGGTCAAAGGTCAAGGTCAGGATTTATAAAAAAAATTGGTATCAGTGTCAGTTAGTGTTAATATCAGTGTGTTTTAGGTAAAAAAAAAAAAGACAAAAACAAAATGCGCACTATTGTTTCTGGGCTGTACTACGGGTACAAACACGTATATGGTATCACTGCGATCGTCAACAGCTGGAGAATTTATTTTGGGTTGTTCTTTGGTGGTAGGTTTTAGTCGTAACAAGAAACACACAGCTAAATAAAAAAAAAAAATATTGTTTTTACTATTTTGGGCCAGTTTTCCTTTGATAATAAAAAAAAAATCAGGAGATATCCATTACCATTTACCACCAAATGAAAGCCCAATTTGTCCTGAAAAAAATCAAGGTATAATCCACCTGGATGTACAAAGTAGTTGTGGTGATATGTACGGTTTTACTATCACATGTCAACGTTGCAGAATTGTGCTTAGGCATTTAGATTTGTTTTACCCTTAGGCATGAAGGGGTTAACTGACTTGATGCTATACTGTGATTAAAAAGTATTCCTTTAATTTTTTTGAGCAGTGTATATTTGGCAAAAATTGTTTTTATATATATATTGTTTCACTATAACATTAGTAGAGCTGTGGTATTTGCACTTAATATTTTCCCACTCAGTCACTAGGGCCTTGAGCTCTTGTCAGTACTCACAATGGGCTCCATTCACAAAGCGGTATCTACCACTTTAAGGTCTGTGGTAAAAAACCTCTTGACATTTTTCAAAAATTTTTGGTTGCAACTCACTAAAAAAACGCTACTAAAACACCACATCAGCTATTTTATGAAGTGATGCAGTATTTTAGTAGTGAAAGCTAGCAGTAAGGTAGCCAACATCCTTAACAACCAGTAAACAGCTAGTTGTTAAGGAGAGGGCAGGCATCTTGTCCTTAACAACTATGACTCATCTGTTGTCAGCGGGATTTTTTTTTTTTTTAAGAAAAGAGCATAAGGGTCCCCCCAATCCAGGTCCACTGTGTCTGGTATTGACTTTGAGTGGAATTCCATACCAAAATTTAAAACAAATGGTGTCGGGACCTCCCCAAAATCCCTACCAAGTATGCAGCCTGGCAGGGCAGGAAAGGGGGGGATGAGTGAATGCCCCCCCGAACCATACCGGGTCACATACCCTTAACAAGGGTGAGTGGCCCTTGCTGTTGATCAGGACAAGGGCCTCTTCCCCAAAACCCTGGCCCTGTGGTTGTTAGGGATGCAGTAATTCCCTGCTCCTTAACAACCATGACAATTACATGTTGTTAAGGATGCTGGCGGCTGTTGGCTCATTAACAGCGAGTTAAAATAAAGCAGATTCCCTAATGCAGAACTTCACCCAAAAGGGAAATGTCACGATCGCAAGATCGCTGCCACCAACATGCGACGATCGCGACGTCCAATATGTCACGATCGCGGCATCAGACCCCAGACCTTCTCACCTAAACTCGTGACCGAAGGACTAGCCAATCTAAAACTGCGATGTGACGTGCGTAACAATGCCACACCCAGCTGCACCCTGCACAACGATTTTCCAGCTAATGGATCACAGATCGATGTACCGGCAGCCTGAGCGATTGTTACTGGGTCAGGTTAATTACGCAATTACCCTTCACACTGCCACCACCTCCTTTTTGTCAGAGAAAGAGGAATCTCGGCGATCTCAGCTAAAACACTATAATGATTGAGATAATCGTCTGTATAAAACGGTCATAACACAGGCCTCTTATACAGAGGGTTAAACAAACAGTAGCATTCTCTTTAGAGGCAGGGATTGGTAAATTGCAATACAGAGCTATAGAAACAGTTCAACACTTTCAGAAAGAAAGATTACTAAGAGGTCAAACGGGTGCAATACAAATATTTACAGAAACAGATGTAACTAAGATATATAGATATATATACACATATACAAAGAACCACAGCACAGCAAAGAGATATCAGAGAGAGGTGAAAGGGTTAAGGTACTTGCCAAAGTCCTGGGTTAGCAGATCCAAGTTTCAGAGCAAGAGGGCATGTGTCTCCCCAGGTGGTATTGATGTTATCAAATGGGAGACTTCTTCAACTTAACTAATCTTAGGCCTGCCTATTTTCTAGTCCCCAGCAGGGGGTGTCTCTGACGCCAAGGACCAATACCTTGTGTAGGCCGGGAGGTCTGGGTGTCGACCTAAACTAGAGTCAAAATCTTGTGTAGTTCATATTTGGGCTCATAACTTTTCTTATGCACAAGTGACATCCTACCCGCGGGTAGATTATTATGCAGACAATTCTGAGGATTGATTAGATATGAATTATGAAAGTGTATGCTAAACGGTTCACAAGATCTATATTTCTGCTTTCCTGTCTATGCGAGACAAGTCGAGTGACACATCAAACTGTTCGGCTCCTCCTAGCCAATCTGACAGTATGTCTGATTTTTATGTAAGTCTCTCATATTCCAAGATATAAGACATAGGGAAAAAATGGATTTTGAGAAGTGTTATCTGATTCTGTTACCTACACTGAGTTAGACTCATTAGGTCAGAATCTCTTTCAACTCCTGAGAGAGCTTGCCTTATCTATTCCGAGGTGTGAAATGGCACAGGTTCTCCCAGACAGCCAGGCACCTAGCTCAGGGATGCCTTGGCCTGCCAGTGACACACACACAGACACACACGTCTCCTCTCAGAGAGGGAGGGGGAGGGGGAAAGTGTCAGGGCTCCAGGTATGACCAGAGGTGTGTGGACCGACACAGGGAAACACAGACTTCAGGTATAGCGTGTAACACAATATAATTTATTAAAGACAACACAAACATAAATATGTACAACCAGGTGCAATAAACCTAAACTAATAGGTACCAGTGCAGTCAGGGCTGGAGAGGTGGAGCGGTCAGGCAGGCCGAGCCCACAGCACGGATTTCCTCAGGGCACGGGGTCTAAGTCCCAGCCTGCTATTCACCAGGGCCCCTGATGGTGGGGATGGACTTGGTGCAGACTGGAACCAGGTCGCGACCCCTGAGTGCGTCCGGCTGTGGTAGAGAGTACTGGCAGGGGAGTGCAGGAACGGAGTCTGATGGGAAGAGGCAGGCAGACTTGCTAGAGGTGATCCGTGTGGGATCGATGGATGGATGGATCGTCGGGTGAAGTAAGCGTAGTCAGACAGGCCGGGTCGGTATCGTGCGGGCAGCGTGGTACAGGAGGAGCAAGCAGAGAATGGTCGGGGTCACAAGCCAGGTTCAGCAGGTAGCGGGCAGCGCGGTACCGAGGATCAGGCAGAAGGATGGTCAGGCAAGCCAGGGGTTCAACAGGAGACGGTCAGCAGAGATCAGGATCAAAACAGGGTCAGCAACGAGGCAGGAACACAGGATACCAGGTACAGGGGCTCATGGGAAACATACACCAAGGCCCTGATCACAGGCCTGGTCATTCCTAAAATACACCTCCTGCAAACAGCCCAGGTGTTGGCTGACTACAGGAGTGAGCTTCTGGCTGCTGAGAGCACCCACTGGTCAGCCCTGGTACTGCAGCCCACACGGCAGGTGAGTCCCACCACCAGTGCTGAGTCCATTCCTGACAGTACCCCCCCTCAAGGAGCAGCCTCAGGACGCTCCAAACAGTCCTTAGTGGGCAAAATGTTCCACCGCCCGGGTCAGGTAACTGGCTGGATATCTTACTGCCGGAGTCAACCGGCTGGCTGGGTTTTCAGCTGGCAGACTTCTCTTTATGTAGGGGAACCCAGGAAGGCAGGTCGCTGGACACAGGATTTCCAGGAGCAGGCTGGGAATCAGTTATTGGCCAGTTTAGCTGGGCAGCGGGCGGACGCACATCAGGCTGGGCAGCGGGCAGGGGCACATCAGGCTGGGCAGCGGGCGGGGGCACGTCAGGCTGGGCAGCGGGCGGGGGCACGTCAGGCTGGGCAGCGGGCGGGGGTCACGTCAGCGGGCACCGGGCAGAATCATCTGGCACGACAGCGGGCACCGAATCATCTGGCACGACAGCGGGCACCGAGCCATCTGGCAAGACAGCGGGCTCCGAGTCATCTGGCACGACAGTGAGCTCCGAGTCATCTGGCAGAACCGCGGGCACCGGGTCACCAAGCTCGACAGCAGGCACCGAGTCATCTGGCATGACAGCGGGCTCCAAGTCATCTGGCAGAACCGGGGGCACCGAGTCATCTGGCACGACAGCAGGCACCGAGTCATCTGGCACGACAGCGGGCACCGAGTCATTTGGCAGAACCGCGGGCACTGAGTCACCAAGCTCGACAGCCGGCACCGAGTCATCTGGCAAGACAGCGGGCTCCGAGCCATCTGGCAAGACAGCGGGCTCCAAGTTATCTGGCAAGACAGCGGGCACCGAGTCATCTGGCACGACAGCGAGCTCCGAGTCATCTGGCAGAACCGAGGGCACTGGGTCACCAAGCTCAACAGCGGGCACCGAGTCATCTGGCACGACAGCAGGCTCCGAGTCATCTGGCAGAACAGCGGGCACCGAGTCATCTGGCACGACAGTGGGCACCGAGTCATCTGGCAGAACCGCGGGCACCGGGTCACCAAGCTCAATAGCGGGCACCGAGTCATCTGGCACAACAGCGGGCTCTGAGTCATCTAACACGACAGCAGGGGCACCGAGTCATCTGGCACGACAGTGGGCACCGAGTCATCTGGCACGACAGCGGGCACCGAGTCATTTGGCACGACAGCGGGCACCGGGTCACCAAGCTCGACAGCGGGCACCGAGTCATCTGGCACGACAACGGGCACCGAGTCATCTGGCAAGACAGCGGGCACCGAGTCATCTGGCACGACAGCGAGCTTCGAGTCATCTGGCAGAACCGAGGGCACCGGGTCACCAAGCTCAACAGCGGGCACCGAGTCATCTGGCACGACAGCGGGCTCCGAGTCATCTGGCAGAACAGCGGGCACCGAGTCATCTGGCACGACAGTGGGCACCGAGTCATCTGGCAGAACCGCGGGCACCGGTTCACCAAGCTCAATAGCGGGCACCGAGTCATCTGGCACAACAGCGGGCACTGAGTCATCTGGCACGACAGCGGGCACCGAGTCATCTGGCACGACAACAGGCACAGTCATCTGGCACGACAGCGGGCACCGAGTCATCTGGCACGACAGCGGGCACTGGGTCACCAAGCTCGACAGCGGGCACCGAGTCATCTGGCACGACAGCGGGCACCGAGTCATCTGGCAAGACAGCGGGCACCGAGTCATCTGGCAAGACAGCGGACACCAGGTCATCTGGCAGGACAGCGGGCACCAGGTCATCTGGCAGGACAGCGGGCACCAGGTCATCTGGCTCGACAGCGGGCATCGGATCATCAGGCATCAGGTCATCTGGCTCGATAGCAGGCATCGGGTCATCAGGCATCAGGTCATCTGGCTTGACAGCAGGCACCGAGTCAACTGGCACGACAGCAGACACTGGGTTATCAGGCATCGGATCGTCTGGCAGGACAGCGGGCAACAGGTCATCTGGCAAGACAGCGGGCAACAGGTCATCTGGCAGGACAGCGGGCAACAGGTCATCTGGCAGGACAGCGGGGCACCAGGTCACCAAGCTCGACAGCGGGCACCAGGTCATCTGGCACGACAGCGGACGCCAGATCATCTGGCATCAGGTCATCTGGCTCAACAGCGGGCATCGGATCATCAGGCATCAGGTCATCTGGCTTGACAGTAGGCATCAGGTCATCAGGCATCAGGTCATCTGGCTCGACAGCAGGCATCGGGTCATCAGGCATCAGGTCATCTGGCTTGACAGTGGGCACCAGGTCATCTGGCAGGACAGCGGGCAACAGGTCATCAGGTATCGGATCGTCCGGCACGACAGCGGGCACCAGGTCATCTGGCAGGATAGCGGGCACCAAGTCATCTGGCATCAGGTCATCTGGCTCGACAGCCGGCACCGAGTCATCTGGCATGATAGGATCATCAGGCCGGGTAGGAACATCAGGCTGGGTAGAACCATCAGGCTGGGTAGAACCATCAGACCGGGCAGAACCATCTGACCGGGCAGAACCATCTGGCTGGGTAGCGCACACTGGGTCATCAGGCATCAGGGTATCAGGCTGAACCATGGAAGGTGGGTTCTCAGACAGCAGACTGACCGGTTTGGATACTGGCAGGATGGTACTGGTTGGAAAGAATTTTCGCCTTTTCCTGGTTTTAGTTACTGGAGCACTGTAAGTAAGTGCAGGTTTGTAAACAGATAGAGCAGCTGTAGGCAGAGAAGAGCTGGGGGATGGAACAAAGGAAGGAGCAGTTGCTACAGAGGACTTCTTTACAGGGTTAAAGGCAGGATAGGTGCAGCGAGTGGGAGCAGGGTACTGACAAGTGGTAGGTAGTAGGGTATACTGGGCTGTCACTGGGGGTGCTGTCGGGAATGCAGGAAGAGAGCTTTGAGCAAAGAAATGATAAGAAGGACTGGTTTGTTGCAAGCTGACTGAGGTTGGGTGTAACAACTCTGACCATATCTGCAGTACTGGCTGAACAAAGCTCCGCTTACACAAAGCCTGTCTGGTCAAAGACTGCACTGCGTTTATACAATCCCTTAGTACCTGTTGTGAACATGCAGAATAATGCTCCAAGAAGCACTCCACATCATCCTCTAATAACCATACCAGGGACTCTACCTGGTCTGCACTAAATGGCGGCAAAAAGTCATCCCTGCTTTCAGGGGTACCAGATGAAGCCAACTCTGCACAAACCTGAATCAAAGGTTGCACCTCAGAGAATTCTGTGCCCTGATCTACTAGAACATGAGCGATCCGTATACATTCTAGCAGTTGATCCCGGGTATACTCCTTTAGAGTCTGATAAGCATAATCTCTGTCATCAAAGACCAGCAGAGACAAATACACAACCTCATCAAGATGCATCCTTCACAACAAGCCAAGATGGCTTCCCTGTGCAGCCACTTCTGGTCAGGAATGGCCTTGGTGTAATGTCAGGGCTCCAAGTATGACCAGAGGTGTGTGGACTGACACAGGGAAACACAGACTTCAGGTATAGCGTGTAACACAATATAATTTATTAAAGACAACACAAACATAAATATGTACAACCAGGTGCAATAAACCTAAACTAATAGGTACCAGTGCAGTCAGGGCTGGAGAGGTGGAGCGGTCAGGCAGGCCGAGCCCACAGCACGGATTTCCTCAGGGCACGGGGTCTAAGTCCCAGCCTGCTATTCACTAGGGCCCCTGATGGTGGGGATGGACTTGGTGCAGACTGGAACCAGGTCGCGACCCCTGAGTGCGTCCGGCTGTGGTAGAGAGTACTGGCAGGGGAGTGCAGGAACGGAGTCTGATGGGAAGAGGCAGGCAGACTTGCTAGAGGTGATCCGTGCGGGATCGATGGATGGATGGATCGTTGGGTGAAGTAAGCGTAGTCAGACAGGCCGGGTCGGTATCGTGCGGGCAGCGTGGTACAGGAGGAGCAAGCAGAGAATGGTCGGGGTCACAAGCCAGGTTCAGCAGGTAGCGGGCAGCGCGGTACCGAGGATCAGGGAGAAGGATGGTCAGGCAAGCCAGGGGTTCAACAGGAGACGGTCAGCAGAGGTCAGGATCAAAGCAGGGTCAGCAACGAGGCAGGAACACAGGATACCAGGTACAGGGGCTCATGGGAAACATACACCAAGGCCCTGATCACAGGCCTGGTCATTCCTAAAATACACCTCCTGCAATCAGCCCAGGTGTTGGCTGACTACAGGAGTGAGCTTCTGGCTGCTGAGAGCACCCGCTGGTCAGCCCTGGCACTGCAGCCCACACAGCAGGTGAGTCCCACCACCAGTGCTGAGTTCATTCCTGACAGGAAGAATAAGGGAGAAATGGATACTCTTAACAAAATGGAGTCCGCGTCCTTCACTGTGTGTTGCGCACGCAGTTCTGCTCTTTCTCCTCCTCCCCCCTCCTCTCTTACATTTTACACTTTATTTTTTTTTTCAGGAGGGTACCTGGTTCTGACAGTCGGATTGTTACGGCGTTCCAAGCGGAAGTTTGGCCACTTCTCCTTCCCCCTGCAGCCTTCTGGGACATGTCACAGCTCCCAGAAAGCTGTGGGACCATTCAGTGCAGCTTGGCTCAAACATGCGCAGTGAGCAGCCAGCTGTGAAGCACAAGCTGTCACAGCTGGCTGCCCACAGCTATTATGCCGGGGACCGAAGTCCAGTGAAGAAACCTTCTGGGTGAGGTCAGTGCTGGATACTGGGACAGGTGAGTGGCCTATTATTAAAAGTCAGCAGCTACAGTTTTTGTAGCTGCTGACTTGTAATTTTTCAAAAGATGACTGAAGAACTGCTTTAACTATCACATGCCTGGACCACTACCGATTTAATACATTTATTTATTTCCTTTATTGCATTAATATTAATACCGTTTTATGAGGTATTTACCTAATTTTTTGCTTTTTGAGTTAAACACTGCATAAAGGGATAGTGAATTGTCAGCATCGCATGCGATATTTGGGAAAAATGTGTCAGATCACCTTAATACCTCATGCGATCTGTTTTAATGAATGGAGTCTAATGGCACAGGATAGCCGGATGCCTTCTTCCAGTTTCCACTGGACCTTCAGTGAGGCAGACGTTAATACCCTCAATGCCACAAGACAACTAGACCCTATCCAAGCTAAACCCAGGCACTCTGCAGTGAGCTCTCCAGACCAAATCCTTTGCTCCAAGTTTTAGAAAAAGGCCTCCTAGCTATGCCACAGCTGGGTCCTCAATGAGCTTGAATCAGTAGAACTGCTGTAGGGGGAAGAGAGGGTGGGGGCTGCATGGTAGCCACCCCCATCCAGCAGGGTGGCAGGGGGTGACTGGGCCAGGGAGCAGAGGGGCAATTGCTGCTCTGATGCCCTGTAAAAAGGCTGCACCCAGACAGGGCTGTCTTTAGTGTGGGGCAAAAGGGGCAGCTGTCCTGGGCCCAATTACTGTTGTAGGGCCTTAAGCAGCTGTCCCTTGAACCTGCGCCAATGGTGGAACTACCAGCAGGGTCAGATTTACTTTCTTCCCCCTGTAGATTTACACAAGTTAGTCCGCCTGTAAAAATTATTGGTTGCTAGGTCCACCTACTGTCCTAGCAACCTCCTCCAGAGCTGCTCTGCCTCTGCCTCTAGTGTTGTTTTTCCTGGCTTCCTGCTGAAAATGGAACAAGTCAGGAGTCT